TAAATTTATCCATGAATTCTGAAGTATTAGGCTTCTCTTGTTTCTTTATAAACTTCTTGTCAGGAATATTATCTCATGGTCCGCAATAGATGAACATGCGTTTGAAAAACATGTTGATTCTAGATATGAGGTTAAACTAACAAAAAAAAGGCTTCTGTCAAATAATACGTAAAGGTCCTTGCCACATATATATATATCAGTATAGTATCTTTAAGAGCCCTACGTGGGCTTTTGCACAAACAGCTGTTTTCCATCATCAGCTGTCGTAACGCGCACGCTATCATGGTTCGGCCATGGATGCACTCGAAATCGTATGCACTCGTACCATGGCCGTTATCATCGTTCCGCCATGGATGCTTTGGTCTGTAAAAGCCAGGGCTCTTAAATATACTATACACATATATATATATATGAGCTATAGTCAAAACTCCTTAATGGGGGATTATAGGGGATTATATAAGGGACTACTATAGGGGTTATTAAGGGGGATACTAGGAGTTTAGATTATGGCTCATATATATGTATATATACCAGGTGTTTGCGTTCCTGGGGTCTCCTCCCAAGTTCCTGAAAGTAGCTATCATCTTTCTCGGGAAAGGCCCCAGAATACCCCTAGATATTGAAAATAAGTGGAGAGGTAGTGAAGAAGGGACGATATTTGGGCTGGAACTTTTTTTGAAAATTACAGGGAATCACCGCAAACAATTATTGACCCCCTAAACCTTAAACCTCCCCTCTGCATCTTCATCTCTCAAATCCAGTAGGGCTTGCCTGGGCAAACAGACCTATTACCTGCTGCAATGGACGTCTTTCTTCTGGGTGTACCCGAAGCATAAGGGCTATCAGGGGCTGTAATATGACAAAAGGTGGCCTTGGCTTTGAAGACTTTCCTCTTCCAGGCAGATCTACGTGTGCCAACACGGATTTCAAAAAACGCCCCCTCAAGCATATACCTTGTTGGCCAGTGGTCAGAACTACATTCCGCAGACCAATACTACTGTAGATGGAGGAAAGTGTGCACCGCCTTTTACACCCTTTTCTTCGGGGTTCTGGGAATGCAAAATGTTGCATCATCTCCACTAGAATACCTTATCTTGGCGCCAGCGTGCGAACAGCGCAGGCCTGAATTTCCCTGTGTTGGGCATTGACGACTCCACCGAGGCCTTTTGCAATAATAAATATGGGGAATCTGCATAAGTATGAATGCTGCTGATGTAATGCCACTTTTGTGGTACATCATCACCAAAGGCCTTCTTCAGAAAATTCGTTCCCAGGTGCTATGCTGAACCGAAAGGCCTTAGTACTTGGAGGATTGGAGGACTGGGATGCTGTACGCCTACTCATAGGGATTAGATAGGGTTTGTACAGAGTTTAAATAGGGATTATAGGGGAATGTGTTGGGGTGATTCCGGGGTGATATTGGGATAATGGAAAATAAAATGGAATCTGCTACTGGGTTTTAGGTATCCTCCCCAGATCTCACACGGAGTCCCACCTCTGGCTCTCGTTCAAGAGGACCATACTTGTGGTCCCAGTCCGCATCTGAGGCTACCCTGTAAGTAGATAGAATATGGGGTATATCGGGATCTTATTATGGTAGACCCAAAGCCATATTCTATCTACTTCAGGGGGACTGTACTTGGAGTGAGAAGAAGGAAGCTGCATATGCTCATCGTAGGCACTCGTTTTGTACGAAACGAGATGTGATCTCATTCGGAGGGCCAGCAGCTCTCTCTCTCTCTCTCTCTCTGATTCATTTTCCGCTGTCTCCATCAGAAGTTTTCCCACTATAGTACCAGTACATATGAGTGGAGCTCTTGCTATTATTTGTGGGTGTTGGTTTCGGCATGCTTTGTACCTTTGTACAAGCGACAGAAGCGGATGTGATAGGCAGCAGGCTATTCTATGAAGTGTTTATGGATGAGGATTCCGTAGGGATCTTCAGGAATATGCAGGAGTCAAACCCTAGCACAAATAGACTCCACATGAGAACTGGTTCTGACAGATGTTCAAATGAGAACCATGATCGTCAGCTGCCTGTTTCCAAAAAGCCTTGAGAAGAATTGTCTACAGCGCAGTGCCCCCCCGTCCCCCCGGACATTTGGGGCTTGTCTAAACTGCGGTCCCCTCTTATCTGACAATCATATTCCAAGAGTTCGGGGATCATCTATATATATATATAGAGATAGATAGAATTCTTTATTTGTTATGGTGCATGACCTTTGACATAGTTGCAATCCGAGTGCGCTTCTCCTCTATCGATTTGGTTTGCACCATCAACTGATTTTGAGCCCCCGCTAAGTTTAAGCAAGACATTTTGGGGCCAAGAATCTCAAACATTAAAGTTTGCTGGGCATAGTGGCTTTTGCAGAGGAACACCCTCTTAACGCAGATTCCACTTCATGTCCACAGTATTGTCTATTTGATTCTCCATGATTTGGAGTTATGTTTCCGGAGCCTTATATCATCCTCATTCAACCCTAGAAAATCCCTCTAAGCGCTGAGCCCGAAACCCCATAGAATCCTTTTATCAGCCCGTATAGTCCCCAGTAGATGCCTGAATTCAAAGTATGCGAAATATTAGTCCCTGTCATCCCCTACACAATTCAAGTTTGTATTTCATTTCGCATTTGATCCAAACCTAACCTATACGGGAAATATGGATCTTAGCTCACATGACACTGTCAACAACCTCTCAGCTCTCAGATGAACTCCGAGGAAATATGCGTAGATAAGCCGAAGCCAGCTCAGGGTTTAGGGTTTAGGGTTCAGGGTTTAGGGTTTAGGGTTTAGGGTATGGAAAATAGAGTGTAGCCAACTACAGTGGAGAATCATAAGGAAAGGACAATGGAAAATTGCATGGAAACTAAGGTAGATTACTTGGTATTCCTGTGCGTAATTCTTGCATATTATGGACCATAATCCCTTTCCCAAATCTATAGAGCTTGCAGAGGGGATAGAAAGAGGTACTCAGGATCCTGGTGCACTTCCCCAAACCAAACTAACATGGAACCCTCAAAAGGGCCGCGCTATCAAGATTGCTGTGCCTTTCAAAGGGGCTACATGGTCCATGGGGTTCCCTAAACCCCTAAACCCCTAGACCTGGGAGGGTAACAGCTCCTGTATCGTTTGCTTAGCGGGCTCCACTTCAACGAGCGCTGACGTGAGGTCATACGGGGGTTTCCCAACATGGACCTTTTTGCGGGCCCCCATAGTAAGGATTATGGAATACTGGTGTCTATGTTGGGGTCCCCATACTCATGGAAACTGCCACATGTTTTATATCCACGTCACGGCGCTATAATTGTCTTGAAGGATCATGTAGGAGAATTGGCATCGACAGTGGCTACCAACCCTCTGCGCATATGGACATATCTACATAATCTACATATTCATGTGTGAAAATATAGAAGCTGCATTGATAAACATATCTGTACTGGCTCCATCAGTACTCGCAACGCCAACAATTCCCTCAAAGCAGCTTGACAGGTCGACTTGGAGGTTTCCTTTAAAGCTCGCCGGGGCTTGTGGACCAGGAATTATTCTTCAAAACTTGAGGTATTTGAGGTAAAGTTAATTGTAGCATTCCCCTTCTTTACACAGACTCCCTCCTGTTATGTGGATCATGTGGAGGGCAGGGCAACTGGCAGCCCTTCTCTGCCGTCCATCCTCGCAGCTCCGGATGTTCTTCCAACGAAGTTTGAGAGCATGGGTTGAAAGCTCATTTGCCATGTCGAGTCGAGTCGAGCGCTATGTTGCTTCAGGGGTTTCAAGATGTAGTTTTTGGACTGGATGAAGATGATTTTGGTTTTTCTTCCGCCCAGCAGGACACTCGTGAGAACATGTCGTTTGTCATAGCTCCTCGAATAGAGCAATGGCTCTAGTACTGCAACTCCCTGAACCCCAAAAGTATGTAAAATGATTGCCTTCGGGGCTGTTCTTAGAGATGTTGGGCTATTACTTTACCTACTGTTGGGGCCCAGGTCAGAATTGTGCTGCCAAAGTTGTGTTTCCACGTGGTGTTGTTCTTTTGGGCTTTGGCAGGTTGAGCCGTTTTTCGCGGTCTTGCTGACTGGCGAGTATTTTGGAGAAGGCCGGCAGCCTTGCATGTTCCTGGTTCAAGTTCCTGCCGCCATGATCTGAGATGTTCCAGCTGGCAGCATCTGAGCCTCGTTTTCAGCCATTACGGCCCAAGCCTCATTGACCTTTACGATCTAACTTTCTTGGCCTGACCCTGTTCTCAGAACAGGTTCCATAACGTGAGCATGGCCCCCGCAGGTGATTCGGCTGCAAAGGCTGTCAAAGCCAGCGGAGTCCAACTTCAGATGCTCCAGCGATTTGCTGAAGTACTTCTCCTCGTATGGACATGGTTCAAAACGTGGTTGGACATGGGTAGAAACGGCTACACCATCTACCAACAGTGGCCGCGGCCAGACATCAGGTATTCAGCGCCGCAGGTCATGCTTGTGCTTGGACTCGTTGCAACAAATGTGGGATGTTCACAAAGCAGTGGCAGTAATCCCTAGGAGGGGGAGGGAGCCCGGAAATCTCCGTATGACCCCGTATAACCTAGGGTCCCTCAAGGCTCTGTTTTTCGAAGCCCCTGCAGGTCCTTGGATTTCTCAATTTTCGACACCAAGGCCTTCCTCAAGAAGCACGTTTTGCTGCTTCTGGGTCTTTTTTCAGGAGTTCTTGTTTGGTGTGTACCTGATGTACGAAAGTGATAAAAGGCATTCCTCATCACGCTCAATCCTCAGGCTTTGGATCTCGACGCCCTCTACCTTGCATACAAGCACGGAGCGGAAGTTGTTCGCGGCGAGGCAAGCGCAGAGTGGGAGAAGCTTCGGCTTCGCAACTCTTTGTGGCGCAGTCTACCCCTGGCCATGATGAGCTTTGCCTTGACTTGTCGGGTGTTGTTCGAGGTGCCACTCTGCCAAGCATCAGCCTCAGCATCAGCAATGGCTGTTGGATTCTGGCCTGAACTGGCAAACGAGTCTGCCTGGGCACGTGACATGCAAAGGGATGGGGTTGCCTTCCTTGACATCGAATGGGCGGCCTATTACAAAGAGCATGGGGATCTTGTGTCGCAAGTGTCAGAAGACCTCAGAAGAGGAGGCAAATCCTTTGGCCGAGTTCTTCTGAACCTGGAGCACAGCGTGTGGAGTGCTTCACACTGCCATGACTCCCAATGGCAGCAAGCCGGGCTTCCACTGAAACAAGCTCATTTGGAAGACCAGGTCGGTGCTGCTGGAGACAAGGAAGATGCCAGGGCCGAAAGCCAGGGCCTTAGCAACTTGTTGGCCTTGAACGTTGTGACCTTTGAGCGCGCGAGAATGGAGGCCGTGAGGCGGGAGAACACCTTGAAGCCTGCAGTCTCGCGCTTGATCAGTCGCATGAGCAAGTCCAATTTGTTGGCAGGCGCAGGAGTTGTGACTGTGAACACGATGGGCTGGGAGACCCTTCTAGACGAGGCTATTGGGTTCCTAAAGGTCAACCTTCGTCAAGATGAAATTCAGACAGCGCACTCGGGCAGACCATGGACCTTGAAGATCACAGACAAGTGGCAAGCCACAGTCCAAGGGGGTTGGAAAGTACGGTTAGGCCATGCCTTCGTATTGTTCCTGGCAGCAGTGCTGCCAGTACGCAAACGCATATTAGAATCGTTCAGCCCACCGCCGTCGACTCCTAAGAACGTGCTAGTGACCATGTACACCAGCTTGGACTTGACATGCCTAGTGACTGGGTTGCTGTTAAGGAACTTAATTTAAGTTACCATATTGGGGAAAACATATTAATTACGGTGATATGCCCACTATGGTGATTTAATTTAAGTTCCTTAAAAGCAACCCAGGTGACTGCCTGGGTCCTTTGTGCAATCGCGCCTGCTGCCTATCATCTCGGGGCTTTGTTTGAGAACACCATTGACAATTTGTGGCCGCTCATAGAAGAACTCGTCAACAATGTTAAGCCTAACTCGGAGATGAAAGATATGGCTGCGGCCATGTTTAAAAACTAGTTGAAGCTGGGCCCAGATCTTGCGAAGACGGTCTGGAAATTGGTGCCAGTGCTTGCCTGGGATTGGCAATTCTTCTTAAAGCTCGTCCTTGGCGCTGTGTGTTTCTTGGCCGTCTCGTCCGCGCTTGCGCACTGGTTGTCTCCAGACACAGGTATAGCCACATGCGCGTCAGTGGGCGTGTGCGGGCCTCTTTGGCTTTTTACGGATGAATCCGAGAGTAGAGGGACAACAGGCCTAAACGCATTCATTGCCGTTGTTCTGAGAAGTGTGCTTTTTGGAGTGATTGTGGCATGGAGTTGGAGCTCGGTGAACGACTTCAGTGTGCAATTGTTCTTTGCCATGACCTTCAAATTGTACCTGTCCAAGGATGACTTGATCTGGAGCTGGATCGCCTTGCTTGTTGTACATCTGCTCTGTGGGTTTGCCGCTGTTAGTGCTCTTGGTAGTGCGGATGACAGCGACTCTTCAGATGAGTCGGATGAAGAGACAGGGCTTCAGCCTCCGAAGGCGACCGCAACAACCTACAGTACATTTGCTGTCACCTCGCAGTCTGATGAGAAGCCTTAGCCCCGACCGTTCCTTCAGACAACACCGGCAAGCCAAGGATGAAAAAATGTAGGAGCTACAGTCTAAACTCCTAGCGTCCCCTTTAAAATGCCCTAGAATAGGGAATCCATAAAGTCCCCCATATAACCCCTTTAAGCGGCTTAGACTACAGCTCATGGTTTATAATGCTTCATGTTCACGAATCATAGCGTCCCGGTCTCCACGCTGCTAGGAACACGAGTTATTCGGTGGCTTTAGCCAGGGCCTTCACGTTGTACCTTCCTCTGGACAGGCTTTTGCTTTTGAAAAGGTGCGCTTTGGTTTTTGACCCGTTGAGACCGTTCCTTTGTTTTTGTATGTTCTTGTTTCCATGGCCTGAAACGTTCCAGTTGCCAGCCCTTGAACAGGCGGCCCGCCATGGTTCCTCGTACTCGTATATAGATTCCCAAACAAAAGTGGTTTCCATTTTGTTTGCCTTTCCTCATTCCTTGCTAACAACCATACATCCCTATCTGACCCTTTATACCCCCTATAAACCCCTTTACCACCTCTATTTAGCCAATGCCAGTGTCTGCCAGCAGGCCATTTGCAAGCAGTGCCGGGGAACCTGGGGCTAGCTGCTGCGGAGAGCAGACTTCATGCTCCTTGAGGGATGTGGGGGTTTCCAAACATTCGGGGCTTCTGTTTTGGGACTATATACTTAGTTTTCTTGGGAAAATATTGGGGAATCCCCATTTTGAAGGCACCAGACTGTATAGTTGGCAGGCTCCCAGATCCCCAGGTCCTTTTGATTCAGGTTTGGTGGAACGCTAGAAGTGGTCCTACAGTAGGCTTTCATGTTTATGAATGGGAGGGCAGCAGAGAACGGAGGAAAGGTAATACTGTCGTAAGTCGTGTTGCATGCCGCGCCATTGTTTCCACGCAGTCTCTGAGGAACCTTAAACACCCCGTTCTTCGTACCCAAAATGGTAGTTGCCATTTTATTTCCCAATTTTTCATCTAACCCTATACAAGCCTATGAAATCCTATACAAGCCTATACGAGGACGTGGGAGGTGTGCCTCCAAGAGAGATTTGTAGGTGGATCCATTGAAGACAATTCTCCCTCCTTCCAGGGGTTAGGGTTTAGGGTTTAGGGTTTAGGGTTTAAGTTTTTGGGTTTTGGAGCTTAGCCTTTCAAATTAGGGGGGGCTTCAGCCCTAATTTAGGGTTTAGGGTTTAGGGTTGTGGGATTCGCACCCGCTGCCAGTGCCGCAAACGAATGGGAGATTCCCTGTCGCAAGGCCACCGGCCATGTTTACCCAGGTAATGGTACGGGATTTGAATTACTCTGAACATGCAAGGGAGTCTCATGCGCTTCCTGCAGTTTCTGCCAGTCGTGATATTGCAGAGGCTGAGAGATTCCGTTTCATGTAACGTTTGCATGCTTGCAAGTTGCCATGGGAATTGGTATTTTTGAGGCATGTGACATCTCAATCCTCAACCTCGTGCCCTAGACCCCAAACCCTGAACCCTATCAATCCTCAACCTTATGACCCCTTCTCCCTACACTTTCTTCTTGGCCTACCTTTTCTGTATCCCAAGGCAAAGAAGGAAGACGCACAAGCTGCAGGCCATCGGGTAAGCGCCGAATTTTTTTGCCGGGGGTTTGAGGGTTTAGGGTGAGGGGCCTTGAGGGAAAATCACTGTCTCCAGGCTCAAGAGTCCAAAATGAATACGGTTCCAGGTTTGGAGCTGTTTCTCAAGGAGGTGCCGACCTCAGAGCATCCCCCAAAGCCTCAAACATATGATGATGACGATGATGAAGAAGATGATGTAAGCAAGTCTCCATGCAAACAAATTCGGAACTGGATGTGTGGGAGACATGTTGCGAGACGATTAATTAGAGATGGAGTAACGATGGACTTGACTGTAACTTGACTGTCGCTCCCGGGGTGTATAGTACAGGTCCACACACTCGACCACTGATTGTGCTACCACCGTCTGAATTCAATTCACCGTCAAAGGTACCGGGAACTTTTTGTGAGTTGTTGAAGATGATGCCAATGTGTGTCTGTGTGTGTGTTAAGGGGCTGCTATATATGTTCTGAACGCAAGGCCTTGATAATCTTCCTTTCCAGGAAGGCCACCCCAAAACATTTGGTCACAAAGGAGCTGCAGTCAACATTTGCTACAGGTGATGGGCATGGGGATTTATCTGAGAAAATATTCTGGACTTCCACTAATTAACGAGTCCCGCTGCAATGTGATTTCATTGCTTTGATAACCATCGTGTTGACGTAGCTTGTAGAGGATTTCGCAGAATATCCTGGATCATCCTAGATCCTTCGAACTCCCTGGATATTGAAGATCGCGAATCAAAACTTGTAGTCGCAAAACCTTCTGGGACTTGTAGTTGACTCCCCTCCCGTTGCCTTGCACCCCCAATCCTATGAACTCATTGAGTTGAGGGTTGGGAGCTTCCTTGGCTCAGGGTTCCTTAGCCCATGTTGTTTTCTATACTGGCTTCTTGGCTTTCACAGTCAGTGCAGAGCAATTTTCCCATCTGCCACATATGTCATTTGCAAGGGCTTCGGCTCGAAACTGAGTTGAAGTTTTAGGGTTTAGAGGTTTAGAGGTTTAGGGTTTAGAATCCAGGTTGAGTCTCTATTGAACTTGGGTTGAGCTTGGGTTCTGAGTTGGTATCTGGGTTGAACCCAGATTTGAACAAGATAGGGCAAACACCAAGTCTTAGCCATGTAGGATTTCATAGTGTTTTAGAACTATTATTCTGGGTAAGTGACGCACGTACTTCGTACTATGCCTACCTAGGCTTGAAAACCGGGATGCGTAAAGTTGTGAGGGCTCCTTCAGAAACCTGCTTTATCAAAAACTGGCAAGTTTGCAGATGTGGGTGCGGTCTCGACGCACCAACTACGCAACCCTTCAGGGAAGCTTCTAACCATCCAAGTAATTTTTAGCGGTCAGGGTGTGTCAGGGTTGAGGGATTCTCTTCGCTGTCAAGCATCAATCTATCCAATGCAGATCCTTCAGGACCTGATACCACGCTGCTCTTCACTCATCCGCTTCTGATCCCTAAATGGGGGTTTCCC